AGTTAAAATTTAATATCATCTTGATACAAATCTGTAACTAATCTTATCATATATACAGCAAATTCAAAAAAAAAAAATAATAATAATAATAATAATAATAATTTATTATAATATATAGATTAAAACCTATATTAAAAATATTATTATATACTGAAAAGTATTTAACTCTAATTAAATATAGATTTGCATTAAAAAATAAAAAAAATATAGGTTTTACTTTGTATTGTACAATTAAAATTAATGAATTTTACTCTGTTCTCTTTATTTAATAGGCATAGATATTATTGAGGGTCAATTTTTTATGAATTAGCACTACAGCGGCTGCAATATGGAACAAATAATGAAAACTAATAGTATCACTATGATAATAAAACAAAAAAATATAACAAACGAATAGCTGGTCAGATTCTTATCACATAGTTATATAATTATCATTTACGAAAGTCTTCTTATAATGCAAATTATATGTTTAATGTTGATCATCCCTGAACATAGTGAAATACTTGTGAACTAAGTTTCCTATACTTTCAGTTATTAGCTATTAAATTGTTTTCTGTTTTATCACATACAGCCAATTGTAAACGTATTTGGTTAATTTGTGGTTGGATATATAGGAAGCAGTGTATGAATCTCTCAGTTGAAAATTTGAATGCGATTGCTTAGATTTGATCATATTATATTGCCAACAGTAAATTTGAATCATTACACTATAGTATAGACAAACCTATTGATGATATTAAAAAGACATTATATAATACAGATCTTTATGAAGAAACTGATAATATTGTCTTTGAGCAAGCTTTAATAACTATTAATATTAACTAGTCTAATATTGATAACAATAATGATAATGTTTCAGAAGAGTTTTTTGAATTAGAAAATATTTTAGATTTGTCAAATTCATCATTTCAAACAGAAACAAGCAATCAATTAGAAGCAAATATTGTAGATGATAATGATGCAAGATCTAGTGACTGGTTAGAAAAATTTAATCAAAAAGAAGATTATGATCCAGCTGAATTAGCATGAATGTTTTTGAATTAGCACAAAATTATAACAAAATTTATAATAACAGCACAAATATAGATATCCTGATCATTTATAGTTTAGATTAGTAAATGAAAAATGATCAAATTTGCTTTAAAAAGTTATTGATATGAATATCAATAAGTTTTTTGTTATTATTTTTTTTGTACATGCAATTTTGCATATAATTTTTTTTTTTGCTTTTGTTTCGTATGAATTTTCATTATAATCGTTATATAATAGATCAATTTTAATGCTAATCTCAAGCGTTTACTTAAAAAATTATTATATTAGTAGCCTATTTCTCATATAGATTAACTATTCTTACATTAGAAGTATTGGTATATATAAAATTAAATTATATAAGTTTGGTTGTTAGAAATAAGGTGATATTTGTTAAATATTAAGTTAAATAGGTAATAAAAAAATTTATTTGGTAAGAAATAAAGATTCAGATATGTCTGGTACTTTGAATTGTGAGAAGAAAAGATTGGTAGTGATTTTTGGAATTTGAAGTTTTTTAGTGATATATTGTACTGCTTGTGGCAAATAGAATTGATTGTATTTAGATTTAAGTTGAGAGATAGGGGTATTAAAGAATTGTATAATATCAAAGTATGCTATAATTTTAGCAAAGATATGTGGGTCTGTTGTTTTTAAGAAAGTATTTTGA